ATAGTAGCTCCTAAATCTAATAATGCTCCCTTAATATGAACCTTTCCTATGGTACAAGAGATGGTGTAAGATCTAGGATCTTAGCACTTAACCAGTAGTCCAGCTTTGAATAAGGATGACACATTGGCACTCATCTGATTTCTCTTAAGAAGTCTAAACCTTTACTTATCATTACACAGTTCCTTTAATATTTTTAAGTATTTAGGGTTTCCTCTCAAGAATTGAATTATAGGCACATTGATTTCCAGTTTGTTAAATAAAGCGTAAGCATTAGTGGCAAACTTAGCATCAAACTTTTTCTTACCAGAGAAATAGGCCTCAGGAAAAGGAAGATCTCTAGGACATACCTCCTTACCTGAAGGCTTAGAGGCTCCTTGCATGCTAGTCTCTATCTTGTCCTCTTTTTGTTTGCCTTTGTAAGCTGAGCTCTCCATAGTGTTTTCATCTTCTGGCACAGCTTCTTGAGGCACTTGGTCTTATGCTTGACTTGACTTCTCTTCTAGATCAGTTTGTGCTCTTGCCCTCTTTATGAGCTCTTCTTCTTTTGAGCTTTCATGGGAAACGTGGAGGGCTTTCTATATCTTGTTCAGATTCAGCTTTATCAGTCCTTTCACCTTTAAAATGAACCTTTTTACCACTTCTTAGGGTTTTGGCATTGAGACCCTTTGGGTTGATCATTGTATTAGAGGGAATGCTTCCCCCACTTTTGGGTTGTATGTCATTGACCGCGTTAGACAGTTGGGTGAAATGACAAGTGATATCTATGTTCTTTAAAGTAAGATCCTCTAACTTCTTGTGCACATATGAGTTATCCTTCTACATCCCTTACAATATGGTAGTTATGGAGACTAATTTGTCATCACTCTCCTTCATTCGTCCTTTGATGTTCATCATCTATGCAGCCATACTCTTTAAGAGTTAAGAAGTGTTATCCACTCTTGGCGGTGGTTGAGGTACTATAGTATTTTGTGGAGTTGTCACTACTACTCTTCAATGATCTTGAAAATTGCTTGAGGAAGCTCCCGCATTATGAAATTGATTACCTTAGAATTCATTTGGTCTATTCGCTCCTCCTTCTCATTTAAAGTTCAGGTGGTCTCTCCAACCGGGGTTGTGTGTATTTGAGTAGGGGTCCCTTTATTGATATTACCCCTCTCTTCCTTGGTACATGGCATTAACTTCCTTAACTAGCCCAGGATAATTCTGAGTTGTGTGTATCGAAGAGTCACAAACCCTATAACTTGTAGCCAAGAGACTATGGCTTGCTGGAGCAGAGACTTTCAATAGTGTTTACAAGCTTAGACATGCCTTGTGCTAGTTTGACCAACAATGGATCCCTTTCAGTTTTGTGGTCTTTTGGATCCCTTCAGCCTACATATTGTTAGTTAAGAGCAAAAGTCATTATTAATTCCCATATAGCCCCATGGTTCCATTTCTTCAAGGATCTATTCATGGCGGCATCCAAGACTTGGGCATCATGCGTCACAATCCATTGTAGAAATAATATACCAATTGCTCCTTAAGAATTTGATGGTTAGGGCACCGGGTAAGCATTTCTTGAAACCGGCTCCAGAATTCAAAGAATGACTCAAACGGCTTTTGTTTAGCTACAGAAATTTCCTTGCAGGAAGCTAAAATCTTAGTGGAGGGGAAATACTTATCCAAAAATACTTTCTTTAGACTAGTCCAAGATTCATAAGCATTGTCCACATAGAGTGGCAATTCATGTACTATTCTTTAGCCTTTCCCTCCAAGAAGAGTGAAACACCTTCCACATAACATCATCAATACTTGTCCCCACTAGCTTTATGGATGCTTTAGAGAGTCTAAAGATGAAGATACGGGTTTTCTCCTGCAAGACCATGAAATTTAAGTAGTAAGTGGATCAAATGACCTTTAATTTCGAAGTCTGCATTAAAACTAGGAAAAGCACCAGGCATAGGATCAAAATTCCCATTAGATTGAGTTAATTCCTTGATAGTTCTGCCGCTAGGTTGTCCAGGTTTCCTATTCTAGCCATTATTCTCTCCTTGCCCCTCATTACCACCATTATTAGGTCTATTATCACTACTACAATGAAGACTTTTTACTTCTGTTTTGGATGACTTTTTACGTCTGTTTTGCAGGGGACATGAAAAGAAGGGACATAAAAAGTACCCCCTTTTTACTTCTGTTTGGAACGGACGAGAATTAATGTCTGTTTCCCAACACAGACGTGAATTCACGTCTGTTAATTTTAAAACAGACGTGAATTCACGTCTGTTTTTTTAGAGACAGACGTTAATTCACGTCTGTTTTTTTAGAGACAGACGTTAATTCACGTCTGTTTTAAAATTAACAGACGTGAATGTACTCTGTTTTTTTTAAAAAAAGATTTAGTTCGTATATACTGCTTCTCCTACAGCCACAATAGCCATAATAGCTACTTTCCAGCAAGTTGAAATAGTATGAACCAGTCAATATTTTCAGCCAAGACATATCAACATCATAACTTCATCTATATAGACACATTAATTAACTAACTAGTCAAAAAAGAACAAATTACAAAAGTCAATATTGATCCTATTGTCTCTAAACATAAACTTGCTCAATCCCTGGACCACAATTCTTGAAGCAGTTGCTGTGCCAAAAGGTCTCGGATGAAGTTAATGTCATCAATAGTATATGAACAATCATTATCAAAAATCTGTAAATTGACAAATGAACAAATTTAAACATAGGAAGAAAATAAAATAAGTAACAATTCAATTTAAAAATTCAACTATTACAAAACTAAAATTATATTTACTTACCTCATCAAATTTTGTAATACATCCGCTCTCAATAATCTCAAACATATAACGGATAATGTAATATCCGCACTCTGTTGGCCCTTGTTGCTTAGCACACTGCAAATCACAAGGAAATGATAATCCAAATTCATATATAAAATAACTGCCATCAATGAAAGAACTTCAATTTAAAGTACTCACACTAGGATATACCCAAGTTGTTGAGCCATTTTTCCCGGAACGCTTCCCACCGGTTATATAATAAGTCTTTAAAGCCCTATAAGCAAATGAAAGCACAAGTTAAATAATTTATATTGAAAACAAAATTATTGATCTACATTAAGGTACTTACGTGTTGAAAACGCCCCTCATCTCACTGCTTGGACGACGACCCAAGGGATCAAACCAGTAGATGACATTGTCAATGGGACAAGAAACACACAAACTCCAATGACAACTGCATCATAGAGTAAGACTTATACATTACTGGATATCACAATAATTCTTAACAATTTAAGTATGTATAAATAAATATAATTAAGCTACTTGCCCTTCAATAATTGGTGCCAAATAACAAGGTAATTTAGTGTCTCCAATTGTATTGCCCACATATCTGATTCTCCTATCTAGTGGGTTGTACTTCTTCTGGACACTTGCAGGGCATAAATATCCATACAAATTTCTCTTCTCCATTGATGACATGCATTTGTTATGGAAGAAGCTATCATTGAATTGAAATAAGATAATTATTAGTATGTGAAAGTAAGAGATTAGAAATTTAAGTTAGAAATGAAAAAGTAAACTTACATGATTGCTAATTGAACCCATGCTATGTCCAACTCCTTCAAGGATAACAAATCCCTGATGTCTTTGTTGTCAAGTCCAAAGAAATATGATTTTTCTTCACCCACAATCCCTACAGGCATCTTTATGTCGACCTTGTTAATTGTTTTATATTCCTCATATAATTGTGCCAAGCAGGGATATCTATTAACATCTTCCTGGTCCTAATGAAACATCAAATAAACATAATAAGTATTATAAGTATTATGTTAAAAAAATGCACACAGTATAGAATAACATTTTCTTACCATCACAGGTATTATCTCCTCATCAACAAGGTGTCTAGGCCAAAGAATGAAAGTTCCAATTGCCTGACCTAACTTCACAACTTCAGCAGTCGGGAATGGCACATCCGCACCTGTCTCTCCCTCTCGAACAGTCGTAACTGTAACCCTCGCTTGGTCCTCTTGAATATGTTGGTGATGGATAGTGCTCCCTTGATTGTAGAGGAGAGCGTCAGCAACAACACGCATCCTTGGGACCTCTAAACGAAGACAACAAGGTTGTCCAAAGTCCGGCGTGGGACTACTAGGATCATGCTCTCCCAATGCCCCCGGTGGATTACAACTGTTTTTAGTGCTAGGAAAGACGGGGGAATCCTAAATGAGAGAAATGCAAGTATTAAATTAAATTAAAAAAATGTTGGTAAAACTCAACATTAATTTAAGTGAAATTGATTACAAACCTGGGATGTGCATTGTTGTTGAACTGTCCCAATTTGCATGCTAGAGACCATAGATTTCATCTCATCACGAAGCTCAGCCATAAGCTCTTTTCGAAGTGACTGGCGTAACTGGGCCTCAATCTTGACCTCTAGCTCAGATTGGAGCTCATCACGAACTTGGTCTCGAAGTTTAGCTATCATCTCATCAGTGGGTTGACTTCGTAGAGAAGCTCGTGAAGTTTGTCCAAAATATTGGGTAAGACCAACTGTCCTCCCTTCTCCTCTAACGCGTCCGGGGTGATCAGGCTTCCCAATCGCTGTCGCTAAAATGTCCATCCTTCCACTCGGACTAAATGAACCTTCACTGCTTTGCTCTTCAAGTACCTCCTATAACATTTTAAGTATGATAAAAAATTAATGACAGTATAATAGAAAATTAATGATAAAATATAAGGAATATTACCATAAGTTAAAGTTATTTGATGTATACAACTTACAATTTTTTTAGCAATCTCAGCAACTGCTGGATTAATATATTGACCCTTCTTCATCCTTGCTTCCTTCCATTTTCTATGACGTGGAGGAGGAGGTGGGGTCTAAACAACGATACTAGGATCAGATTTTGCAGCTTCCTGCATCGCCTTAAAGTCATCCTGCATGATCCTCTCCTCAAGCATCTTGTAACCTCCACGGGATAAATAGTGCGGATATAAATTTTTAGCTTACCTTTCTTTATTCATCGCACTTAATTCCTGTGGAAAAGAAAACAAAGTAAATTGAGTAAGTGAAGTAAATTAAATCAATGACTTTGCTTTATAAGGCAATGTACCTGAAATTTAGGATCATGCCGTGATGCCACAAACCTCCTCCAATCATCTGGATCAAGGAAGGAGTATTTTTCGCACGGATCATCATCTTTCCTAGACCCTCGCACATACTGGCTCGTGAGTGTGTGCTTAAAATCTTTCCAGCGCTGACGAACTTGCTGCAACAAATGCTTTTTCATTTGCTCAGTACGAGGGATGTCATACGTTTGCTGCAAAGAAAAATATATATGTTTGAGTTTAAGATCTTAATTATAACTATATTTACAATAAAACAAATGAAATAAAATTAGAAAGTGACATACCAAAATATATTCCCAAATCCTATCCTTCGTCTCCTTAGAAATTGACTTCCAATTAGGCCATAGAATATTGACTTTGCTTCGGGCAACGGAGCCTATATAGCTAATGAATCTGTCCTTCTCTTCACCAATTGGATTCATATTGGCATCAAAATCCACATGCTTCTTCTGAATACGACCATGACGTACTGCTAACCTTGGTAGCCTTGTACTACCTCTAACCTTCCTTCCTTTCGGCTGATTGACATCATCGATGTCATAATCCTCCTCCATATTGGCATCAAATCCTCCTCCATATTGGCATCAAAATCCTCCTCCATGTGCCTGTTGAAAAACCAAAATTAGATAAATAAGTAAATTATAGTGAAATGTATTAATATATAAATAATATCAAGTACATTGCAATGAAATAAATGAAAGAAAATAACACAAGGTACGTTGCAAAATTACATTACTTGATCTGACTTTATGCATTGTCCCATATCCCTTCACAATGATCATCTCTTGCAGCATATTCATCATTATCTACCAATTCTTCTTCACTTGGTCTAGGCGGATTTGAAGCAAAAGGTGGTGTCTCATCAAGATTCATGGTAGGATCACTGTCCTTCTGCTTTTTACTTTGAAGGACAATAGACAATTTTTTATTTGCTGGATCAGTAACATAAAATACTTGTTTTGCCTGGCTTGCTAAAATGAAAGGCTCATCTGCATAACCAACCCTGCCAAGATCAACTAATGTAAATCCAAATTGTTGATCTATTTCAATACTGTTGTTGTTGACCCATTTACATTTGAAGACAGGAATCTTGAAATTGGTGTAGTTTACCTCCCATATCTCTTCAATAACTCCATAATAAGCCATAGATGCCAATTTGGGGTTTTTATCTTTCGAACTCGAAAAATGCATCGCTTCAGCAACCACCATTACCCCACTATTCTGCACAGTACTTTTGTCATCTTGAGCTTTTGTGTAGAAGGAATATCCATTTATGTCGTATCCACTCCAAGTGATAACTTCAAAACAAGGACCCCAAGCTAACCATTTTATTGTATCAGATACATTGGCCTCTCTCAAAACTTTTTCACTGAACCATGTTATAAATGTTTTGTTATGCTCATTTGCTATCTGCATATCACTTTTCTTTGGATACTTCTCTTTTAAACTTTTTTTGTGATTATCTAAATACGACTGCACTTCTTCCATATTATTCAATATGTATAAGTGCGCTTGTAACACTTCTTCACGACCCATACTCTTTACCTTCAACCCCCTGATTCCTTTACTTGTACCATTTTCATGCTGAGATGGTGTCTTAGCTATAGATAGATATGTTTTGCAAAATTCCATAGCCTCTTCCGCTACATACCTTTCAACAATTGATGCTTCAGGTCGATAAGGATTTTTAGAATAATTTTTTAAGACTTTCATGTACCTCTCAAATGGATACATCCATCTTAGAAAAATAGGACCGCAAAGCCTTATCTCCCTCACTAAATGAATGATCAAATGCACCATGATGTCAAAAAATGCTGGGGGAAAGTGCATTTCTAGTTGAGACAAGATAACATAACCCTCATTTTCCAATTCATCCAATTTCTCTATGTCAATGACTTTGCTACAAATAGCATTGAAGAAGATACATAATCTAGTTATAGTGCTCCTCACATCATCTCTCATTGTGCCTCGAATAGCTACGGGTAATAGTTGTTGCATCAGTACATGATAATCATGAGACTTCATTCCCACTAACTTCAAATCATGCATTGAGACAAGCCTTTTCACATTAGAAGAATACCCCTGGGGCACCTTGATGTCATGCAAACACCGACACAAGCTTGTTTTTTTGACTTTAGACAATGTGTGGGCCGCAGGTTCCATATAAGCCCGCTTACCACCCTCTCTCAATTGTGGATGTAAGCGCTCTCGAATGCCCATTTCAGCCAGATCAAGTCTTGCATTAATTCCGTCTTTAGTTTTTCCGGGTATGTGCAAAAGAGTACCGATAAGACTATCACACACATTTTTTTCCACATGCATCACATCGATACTGTGTCTTACATCAAGACTGCGCCAATATGGAAGATCAAAGAAAATAGACCTCCTATGTTTTTCTCACTTGCAGCTTTTTGAGTCTTACCGAAAATGACATTGATTCTTTCAACTCGCTGGTAAACTTCCTCTCCAGTTAATGCCTTCGGAGCCATGCCATGCTCTGGTGAGCCATTAAAAACCTTTTTCAATCTCCGGTATGGGTGGAACCGATCAAGAAACCTCCTGTGACCGAGGTAAACTGTCTTCCTTCCGTGCTTAAGTTGGTGGAAGTATGTGTCTGCTTCACATATAGGACATGCTTTATGCCCCTTCACACTGTATCCTGATAGATTTCCATATGCAGGAAAGTCATTTATCATTGTAAAGATCATGGCACGCAACTTAAAGGACTCCTGCTTGTATGCATCAAACACATCCACGCCTTCTTCCCACAACATCTTCAAATCTTCAATTAAAGGTGCCAAGTAGATATCGATATTGTTTCCTGGTTGTTTCGGTCCTGAAATCATCATAGAAAGCATCATGTACTTGCGCTTCATACATAACCAGGGAGGTAGGTTGTAAATCACCAATAGTACTGGCCATGCACTATGTGTGCTATTAAGAGTACCGTAAGGGTTGATTCCATCTGTACAAAGCCCAAGGCGAAGATTTCTTGGTTCAAGACCAAATTTCGAAAACATTTCATCTATTTTCTGCCATTGAGGAGAATCAGCAGGGTGCCGAAGATATCTTCCATCTGATATTCTCTCATCAAAATGCCATCTTAACTTCTTCGCTTCTGTTGCATTAGCAAATAAGCGCTTAAATCGTGGTATTATCGGAAGATACCATAACACCTTCAAAGGTTGCCCTTTACTTGTCTCGTCACCATCATAGTTACCAGCACAGTCCATGTTCTTTTTCACCTTGAATCGTGAAGTTTTACATTTTGGGCACTCACGTAGACCAGCATACTCTTTTCTATATAATACACAGTCATTAGGACAAGCGTGTATCTTTTCATAGCCCATACCCATCCGAGACAAGATTTTCTTTGCTTCATACACACGATTTGGAAGGACGTTATCAATTGGAAGCATATCACTAATCAATTGAAGCAACTCTGTGAAACTTTTGTCAGTCTACCCATTATTTGCTTTTAAACTGAACAATTTCAATACAGCTGTCAATCGTGTATACTTAGAACACCCAGGGTACAAAGGCATCTCTGCATCACTCTTCAAGTTATCATTTGCATGTGATTGCACAAAGAACTCTACCCCTACATCACGAATCATATCGCTCATTCTATCATTTACATCATCCATATCTTCCTCTTCTTCGAGTATTGAACTTGTTCCTACTTCACTATGCCATATCCATTTTGTATATCGAAGATTTATACCATCACAAAGCAGGTGATCTCTAATATCATCAACACTTAGTCGCCTCTCATTTAAACACTTGACACAGGGACAAAAATACATTCCGTTATTGCTACGAGCATTCTGTTTAGCAAATTCAATAAATCGTTCTACTCCGTTCTCATATTCATCACTTGTTCTCAAAGCATTCATCCAACTATGATCCATTCTGTTACTACCTAAGGAATTATAAACAATTTAATTCCATTCAGCACAGTCCCAATAAACATTAACCAAATTCAAAACTAATGATATCAATTGAATCCGATTCATTCCAATTACAACATAAATCATGCCAATTCCAAGCAAATGATTTCAAACTTCAAATCTATTACCCAATCAATGTAAATAAATTTTAACTTATCTAAATGCAATTTTTTCATTAATCATTTAATGTATACCCAATCCTTAATCTAAATTCAACACATAGCAAACTATCTAATGTAATCCCTCTTAGGCATTTTAACAAACACCTTGTATGCATTATTTTTCTAACAAGATTAACAAGGCTTGAAATCATTAAAATTTCTACTCAATCAATATATACAAATTTAAAACTATCTAAACACAATTCTTCAGCAAAAATTTAAACAGCAACCTCAGAAACCAATTCAAAACTCCTCAACCTACTCAAACCCACCGTACAACACACTAAAATGCAACGATTGAATGAACTTACCTTCACCGTTCTGGCGTGCCTTCGAATCAACGGCCTACAGAGAGGACGACGACGGTGAGCTGCTGTGCGTGTGAGCTTCACGGCTTCAACGGCGAGCTGCTACAACACGGCTACTGCAGAATGCGCGACGCAATGGAGGGAGTCCGGCTACGGCCTTGAAGAGCTGAAACCAGGGGAGAGACCGAAACAAGTTGAAATAGCTCACGGCTACTTCACGGACAAGAGGAAAATGAGAGGGAGAGACCGATCGAAACTGAAAGTTGGGTGCGAGATAGCTACGAGCTAGAGTTCTTCGATCGCGCGTGGTACATATGCAAATCTGATAGATAACTACTGATGCGAGCTGCGCTGCGGGCAAATTTTTTTTTAAAATGAAGCCCCTTCACGTCTGTTTACTTAGAAACAGACGTGAATTCACGTCTGTTATAGAGAAACAGACGTGAATTCACGTCTGTTATAGAGAAACAGACGTGAATTCACGTCCGTTTACATAAACGGACGTGAATTCACGTCTGTTTTGGGTCAACGGACGTTAATTCACGTCTGTTTTGGGTCAACGGACGTGAATTCACGTCTGTTTTGTTTAAAACAGACATGAAGTCTCTTCTGTTTTGCAAAACAGACATAAACGAGGGAGGTAAATAACACATTTTGTTGTAGTGTATGATTGCTATTACCATTCCCACCATTAGGAGGTACTTTAGCCATGATCTCCTCTTCTACTTCCTCACTCTCACTAGATTAATGGGATTGGTCTCGTAAAAGAAGTAAGCTAAGAGATGCTGTATGTCTACCTCTCCTACCTCTATATGCTCTAGGCATGCACAATTACTCAAAATCAAGCACAAATAGAGTAGAAGAGAAAAGTATTATCAAAACTTTGGTATTTACCAAGTCTGTATTTCAAAATTGAGGCAAACTCAATGATTTCAAATAATGCTCAGTGAGTCTGAGGTATATAAAGTGCTATACACTCTCAAAATATGTGTAGAAAGGAAAGTTATGCAAAAATAGTAAGTCTGGACACT